AGAATCTGTATCCAAAGTGGCCACTGTCCAGCTTAAAATTATGGGATTCTGTTACTAAGGAAGAAAGGAAGAATGGATGTTGGGGGATAATTAGTGGTCTCTACCATCCTTCCTTCCAGCCAACCAACCAATCAACCACCCAGCCAACATTTATGTTTGAGGAGCTGCCCTATTTAGTGAGAGAGACAGATATGCAAATAACTCACTACAATACAATGTGATATGGAGTATAAAAGAGGTTTTGTTTGGAGTACTGTGGGAGAACAGATGGAAGTGATCAACAGCAATCAGAATAATTAATGACTACAATGCCCTCGCTGGGGCCTCCTGCTACATTCGGACTATTGTGAATATCCAGCTCCCTTTCTTTGCAGTGAGAGCCGAAAACTTTCCTACTTCTCCATAATAGCCAACACAATGGGCCGGCAGGTGCTGTTCTGAGTTCTTCATACACATTATCTCACTGCAGTCTCGCAAGCTAAGACTGTTCTTCTCACTTACAGATGAGAAACAGGCCCAAGCCATGGATCGGGCTGTTGGATGCGGGCAGCCTGGCTCCTGAGTGCCTGGGCTTAACCTCTCCGTTCTGTCGCCCCTTCCTCTGACCCCACCAGTCTCCTCCAGCAGAGGTCTCAGCCACTGCACTGTGACGGCTGATGTCATCTGGTGGGACCTTGCTTCACCTCCAGGCCAGCCCCCAGCTTGCCTGCATCCCTCCCCCGGCTCAGCCTCGGTCTTCTTGGCTAGAGCTTCCCTCCCCTGCAGTCTGGAGAGGCAGCAGGCTGTGGTGGCTTAAGGAAGTCACTCGGCCTCTTTAAACATCACTTTCCTGTCTGTAAGTAGGGATGGGACTAACACCCTTATCACGGGACTAGCCTTGCACCTACTCAGTGCTCAGAGGATGTTATTACTTTTTATCCCCCTTCCATCTGGTTCCTTGGACTGTTATCTCTCTGCATCTTCAATCAGCTTTTCTTTACAGGTCGTATTGGTTTCCTATTCCTGCCGTAACAAATGACCACAAATTCAGTAAGGTAACGCATACATATCTAATGTCTTACATTCCTGGAGGTTGGAAGGCTGTACCGGGTCTCACAGGGCTAATATCTAGGTGTTACAGGACGACGTCCCTTCGGGGTGCTTTGGGAAGAATCAGTTTTGTTACCTTTTCCAGTTGACAGGCTGTTTGCATTCCTCATGGCCTTCAGGGGTTCAAAGCCAGCTGCACTGGTCCTGCCCTCAGGTTGCCTTACACCAGCCTGGATTCCTTCCTCTCACCTCCTGCCTGACCTCTTGTCTCCCTTTCTCACTGACAGGGACCCTGTGACTAAACTGCACAGCCCTGGATAATCCAGGGCACTCACTTCATCCCATCTGTGGAGTTCCCAACACATTCACAGGCTCAGGGGATTTGGGTGTGAACCTCTTTGGGTGCCATTATCTTGCCTACCTCTGGGATTATTTCCCCTCAGGATGTAGTAGGTAAGAACCATCTTAAATAAAACACCTCTTCTTTAACCGTGTGCCCTTCACACTTCTTTGCTTCTTAGGCATACTTTTGTTTTTTGGTACCAGGGATTGAATTCAGGGGCACTTAATGACTGAGCACATTTTAGCCTTTTTTTAAAAAAAATATTTTGAGACAGTCTTTATTAAAATGCTTAGGGCCTCAATAAATTACTGAGGCTGGTATTGAATTTGTGATCTTCCTGTCTCAGCCTCCCGAGTGGCTGGGATTACAGGTGTGCACCACCACATCAGCTCTCAGGAAAGCTCTTTGAAGGAGTCATCTTGATTAGCTTTCCCATTTCCTAAAAACCCACTGCAGTCTGTGTCTGCCCCCGCATCCCACCAAACCCACTTTTGCCCTCGTCATAGTGGCTTTGGTGACTCTTTTCATTCTGAACCGGCTGCATTGTTCGTGCTGTCTGCTCATTCCTGCTGGAGACCTTCCTCTCCCTATCTTCCTTTAAGTCATTCTGGTTTTCTTTCTCATCCTCCCTGGCTTCTTCCTCTCCTCTGTGAGCTATGCTGTTCCTCTATGAGCTATGCTGTCTCCACCCACCTGTGAAATGTCCATGTTTCCCTGGACTTTAGATCTTTGATCCCTTGCTCTTTTCTTGCTAGTTTTAAATGCCACTTACACAAGGATGGCTGACTCCTGCTTGTGCTGTGGAAATCTCTGGCCCCTGGCTGGGAGTGTTGGTGAGGAGTGTGCTTCTACTACTAATCTCATGAGCTCATCAGCTCTTCAGTCTTCCTTGACGCACACACAGTGAGAGAGCTCACTGAGGTAGTGACTTGAGAACCATGAAGCCTGGGGCACTTGGTGCTTCTGTTCCAGACTGTGTGGCTGCTTCCATGGAGATGGAGCGCCATCCTCTCAGGACTTCTCAGAGGAAGGTGTGAAAGACAGCAGGCCCAGGTGTGCCAAAGGACAGATCTGTGTTTAGTGGGGGTGACAGGGAAGCAGCAGGATAGCAGCTTTTTGATAGTGTATTTACTGGTGCAAACCCCACCTTTACCTCTGTGATTTGCAACTCCTGGAGCTCTGAAGGAGTTACATGCTCACTAGTTCAAAGGCACAGAACTATTCATGGGAAGCTAAGATGCATCCTGACGGTAGTTAGACACACAAGACTCTCACCAGGGAACAGTTTAACCAAATAGTGAGGCTGCCTCTGAATGCAAGAAGACTGCTGGGGGGGGGGGGTGTGAAACTGAAGAGTGGCCTGGGGACAGTCAGGAGGTTCAGAGAGGAAAAGGGACTTGGTCATGGAATGGACAGGGAGTGAAGAGGAAGAAGGCCATTTGGGGCAGGGGAATAGCATGTGCCAAGGTGGAGAATCAGGATAACAGATAATCTATTTGGGGAACAGGGAGATTGTAGGGGAGATGAGGTCAAAGATGAGGACAGCAGCTGGAGCATGTGGGCTTCATAAGGGCTTTAGGTAGGTTCTAGCAGGAAGTTTGAACTTGATCTTGCTGGCAGTGGGAAGCTATCGAATTTTTTGTTCCAGTTCTGGGCATTAAACCTAACATGCATGGTCAGCAAGTGCTGTACCACTGAACTATGCCTCTTACCTGAAGAAATGATGGTGTGTGTGTGTGTGTGTGTTTGTGTTTGTGTTTGCTGGGAATTGAACCAAGGGTCCTATGTATGTTAGGCAAGTATTTTACCACAGATCTACATCCCCAGCTCCTATTTAAAGGTTCTGATCACAGAAATGACTTGACAGAGTTCAGCTCTTTTAGGAAGACTATTCTTCGGTAGATTGGGGAGGGATTGTTGGGCCTTAGATCTTAAAATATGCAAGGTATAATTTTAGAGGAGATACCTTGATAATTACTGGCCCATTCCTATAATCTTATATTCCTATAATTTTATATGTGTGTATATTTTTAGATATAGGTGCATATTTATATATAATATATAATCATATATAACATCTATTTTAAATATACCCTCACACATATTAGATGGCCTAGGTGAACACATAGTGACAAAGCTAGCATTAGAACTCAGGTCTGCCTCCTAGTCCAGTGATCTTCTATATTGATCTGAGTGGTTGCAGAGGTATCTGAAAGGAGGCTGTCCAACTGTCTAGGCACATGGTGATGCCAGTCTTGACCAGGGCAGACACCCAGGTAAAGACCATGTGGGAGGCAGTGAAGACATGTTGTCTCTCCTCCTCTCTCTCTTGGTGGGGGTGGGGACATAGGGCTCGTTGGAGACTGCACATGAGTGCATCTCTCTTTCCTGGGTCCTGCAGCATCCTTCTGGGCCTGGTTTCTATGGCAACAGGCTCCCAGCAGGCAGCCCGCCAGCTGGAGGGAAGCAGGCAGGCAGGCAAGGAGAGAAGGTTTGGGCAGTATGGGGAATGCTGAAGTTGCGGGGGTTGGGAGTCTCCTGGGAAGCTGGACAGGTCTCTGGAGCTGTCCCAACAAGTCTGTCTCTCTTCTGACCATGTGTGGAGGGGGCGGGGAACTCAGGACCCATAGATCTTTCTTGTGAGGTCCTTGCATTCTCAGATGTAGAACTTCTGTTCATCCTCTGTCCCCCCACATCTCCTGACTCCCACTTCTTAAAGTATTGTCAGACCCTAACCTTATACCTCTTAGGAGGCCACTGAGTTCTTTATAGAAAAGAGCCCCTACTCTGAACTCAGGGGAAAAAAATGAACAAGGCCAATTGACTTTCTGTTTTGCATAGGATTTGCATATTATTAACTCAAAGACAAGAAATTTCCAGGCCCTGTGTCATTCCTGCCAACAACTTAATTCAGCTCCACTGGCACTGGCATACTGTGTCTGGCCAGGCTCTGGGCTGAGCTGTCAGGGTCCCTAGGGGAGAAGTCCTCCCAGCCGCATGCCCACTCCACCCCCAGCTGCTCCCAGGCACCTCCTCCCCTGATGTTCTAGCAGCTGCTGTGGAGTGTGGAACAGAGTGCTCTGACTGCGGAACCCAGCAGGCAGCCCTGGGTCCAAATTCTAACTCTGCTACTTTGTGGCTGGGTGATGCTGGGCTTCTGGGCCTAGGTTTACTCATGGGTCTTAGGGCTCAGTACACACTGTACAGCCGGTGCGAACCAGCATGGATTTACCTTTGTTAGAATGCTGAATGCATTTGCATTCATCCATAAAGAGCTAACACTACCCTGGACCCTACCTGGGACCCTCTGATCTACCTCACAATCCAGCTTCTACAGGTGAGGTCCCAGCACTTTGGTCACAATCTGCTCGGATTGGTGTATGACAGCATCTGTTCGGGCCATGGAGTACTGGTTGTTAAACATTTTGACTGTCACCCTGTCGAGAGGTGGTGCGATGAGTAGGTATATTGGGTACCTACTAGTTGCAAGGATTCATCCATTTCCAGTGCTTGACCTCATGCTGACTGCTTTGTAGGTTCCCTTCCTCACTCCTTTCCCCTTTTGCCTGGGATGTGGGTGAGGGCTAAGATGGTCAGGGACAGAGGGGACAGGCACCTCTCTCCACAGGCGGGCAAGGTTCAAGCGCTCCAACAGCGTGACGGCCGGTGTGCAGGCAGACCTGGAACTGGAGGGCCTGGCCGGCCTGGCCACGGTGGCCACAGAAGACAAGGCCCTGCAGTTTGGACGATCCTTCCAGAGGCATGCCTCTGAGCCCCAGCCCGGGCCCCGGGCCCCCACCTACTCAGTCTTCCGCACGGTCCACACGCAGGGCCAGTGGGCCTACCGCGAGGGCTACCCACTGCCGTATGAGCCGCCGGCCACCGATGGGTCGCCCGGCCCTGCCCCCGCCCCCGCCCCTGGCCCCGGGTCTGGCCGCCGCGACTCCTGGATGGAGCGTGGTTCACGTAGCCTCCCCGACTCAGGCCGCACGTCCCCCTGCCCACGGGACGGCGAGTGGTTCATCAAGATGCTGCGGGCAGAGGTGGAGAAGCTGGAGCACTGGTGCCAGCAGATGGAGCGCGAGGCGGAGGACTATGAGCTGCCTGAGGAGAGTGAGTCGGCCCCATCCAGGAGTGTTGCAGGGCTGGGGGCTGGGGACTGGGGGCTGAGGGCACAGGGGACCGTGGAGCGGGGAGAGTGGGGCTGCAGCATAGTAGGCTCCCCCCACCCACCCCGTTGGACTGAGTTTGCCTTCTTTCCTGGTTCTTCAGCCCCAGAGCTGGGGAGGTGGGGGGTCAGCAGTGGCAGCAGGACCTGTTGGGAGCTCTTGGAAGCAAGCCGCTCTGATCAGGTAGAAGGCTAGACTTTTAGAAGATGGCTATCAATCCAGGTCACCAAATCCATGAGGACAAAGGGAATCCAGATCTGAACTGGTGTAGGGATCCAGAGTGATCCAGGAGCAAGAACTGGAGGTAGAGGGAAGGCAGTGCCAGTCAGATCAGATCTGAGGCTCAGCTAAGCAGTCATTGCCCTGGCCTGAGAGGGCATGGCCCCGCCCTGTAAATCCAGGCTGAGGGGAGGGGAGACACAGTCTCTAAGTTTATGGGACTAGGAAGTCAAAGTGTCATGTTCATGAAATTACCTAGTAATAATTCTTTTTTTTTTTTTTTCTTTTGTGGGGCTGGGGCTGGGACTGAGGATAGAACCTGGGATTCCCAAATGCTAGACAAGTACTCTACCACTGAACTTCACCCCTAGTCGTCCTTATTTTTGTGATAGGGCCTTGCTAAATTGCTGAGGGTCTAAGTTTGGTCAATAGGGCTAGGCTGGGGCTGGTATCCATCTGTTCTCTGATGTGGAAGGAGGAGGATACAGGATGAGTGCTTAGCTAATGTAAGCTGAGTGAAGGAAGGAACATCAGTGCCTCAGGATTCAGTCCTCTTGGTGAGGTGGGCAGGGAGCTGCTAGTTAGGAATTGAGGATGGGGATGGGGAAGGGGCTGGGGGAGATAGACTGTGCAAATAACTGAGTGGTGAGAACCATTTAGGGCAGACTTCCTGGAGGTGGGGGAAGGAGATGTCTCATTCCCCTCCTTGAGTTTCCTTCTGCTCTCCAGTCCTGGAGAAGATCCGCAGTGCTGTGGGCAGCACACAACTTCTTCTGTCCCAGAAGGTCCAGCAGTTCTTCCGGCTGTGTCAGCAAAGCATGGTGAGTGCCCATAGGAATACAGCCTACCAGGTTTGTGGACCTGGCAGGTGATCCAGAGTGTGACCAGGAGGTAAGACCAGGTCTGTGTGCCTGCAGGGGTAGTTTTGAGTATATTGTGCCAGGAGGGGGGGGGGGGTCAGGTATTTGTGCCCAAGAAAGGAGAGACCTGGGCTCTTTTTGGTCTTGCTTTCTCCCACCCCCAACCCCTCTCCCAGGTTGAACTTCCTGAGGGTGAGATTGGATGGGGCTGTCTGTGGTCCTAACTGGGGTTAGACCTCCCTAACTGGCTGCCCCCACTATGTCTTCCACTGCTGCAGGACCCCACTGCGTTCCCCGTGCCCACCTTCCAGGACCTGGCGGGTTTCTGGGACCTCCTACAGCTCTCCATCGAGGATGTGACCCTCAAGTTCCTGGAGTTACAGCAACTTAAGGCCAACAGCTGGAAACTCCTGGAGCCTAAGGTGTGTGTTGGGGGGTGTCTCTAGAGGCCACACCCCGAACAATTACCTTCCAAGGAGAGATGTGTATGAAGGGGAAGGGCCCATGAGGAGGGACCCATGGGCAGCAAGGTGATGGGTGACCATCCGCTTCCAGAACTTCTGGTCATTGCAACCTGGGTGGCCCCAGTACTTATCACTGCCTGAACTTCCAGAGCTGCTTCAGGCATCTCTGGCCCTTGCAGTTTGGGAGAATAGAACTAGACCTAGAAGGTCACCTTCAGCTCAGGCCTAGGCATAGAGGACAGAGCAGTATATATACCCTCAGACCTCAGCCTACTAGATCCTGTCTGCCATGGGTCTCAAAGGAGTGGCGGGTCACCTCGCTTGCCTAGCCTCGGTTCTCAGAGCTGTGCCCATGTCCACCTGGCGTGAAAACACAGTCTCTCAGCCAGCATCCTGATGCGAGCTGTTCAGAACAGCTCCACCAGGGGGCGCTCGAACACGTCACGTTTTAGGGAAAGATGGGGGGGCTTTGACCTTGGCAGATCGAGTACACCTGGGGCTTCAAGTCGCCGCACCCGCGTTCAGAGTCACACAGTTTCTATCCCTCTGGGAGCTGGGACGTGGGGGCACGGGATGCCGGGTGGATCCCCCGCGCCCAAGCTCAGCCGCCCGCTCTCCCGACAGGAGGAGAAGAAGGTCCCTCCGCCGATACCAAAGAAGCCCTCGCGGGGCCGGGGCGTGCCGGTGAAGGAGCGCTCCCTGGACTCCGTGGACCGGCAGCGGCAGGAAGCGCGCAAGCGGCTCCTGGCGGCCAAGCGCGCCGCCTCCTTCCGCCACAGCTCGGCCACCGAGAGCGCGGACAGCATCGAGATCTACATCCCCGAGGCCCAGACCAGGCTGTGACCCGCCCGGCCCGCCCAGCCCGGCCCGGGCCCGCGGTTTTCTACCCGTACTGTACACCCAGCGTCGAGGTCACTGTGAACGCGGGCCGCCCAGTGCGCCCGCCGCGCCGGCACCGCACGCCCCGGCCCCTCCCGCCCGTCACACTCTCGTGGGTTTTTTACCTTCCTGACCCCACGCGAAGGCGCCCGGGCTGGGCTGGGGGCCGTGCCTCTCCGCCCTGCGCTCCCCACCTGGAACCCCCACCTTCCTGGTCCGACGCTTTGTCCCCACCTCCCCATGGGCACCATCTCTGCCATTATTTCCCCCCACGGGCCAGGCCGGGCCGGGTCCCTCATCTGGGCTCTGCGTCCCCTCACCCACCCCGCGGGGCTGGGCTTCGTGGGGATCAAGCTTCGTGGCTTTTTATGAAGAATCCCAAACCCCGCCTAGGAGCCCACCCCACCCTCCCAGGGCTCCACCTTCAGCCCTCAGCCCACAGGGCCCAGGGACCACAGTGGCTGGACCAACCCAGGACCAGGGCACCTGGGCCTCTCCCCTTTCCCAGCGGCTGGGGAGGGGAGATGGGGGCTTCCCCTCACCACACCTGTGGCTGTTCCCACATCCCGAGTATCCCAGGAAAAATAAAACCGCAGAACTGCACTTGAGCCAGCTGCTCTCTCCAGAAGAGGCCACCTCTGCCTGGGGGTGGGCGTGGCAGGGAGGGGGGGCAGAGAAGTGCCATGCTGGTGCTCTTGATTTTGGGACAGCACAGGTCCTAAGCCCCTCCACGGGAATGGGCCAGCTTGGAGAAAGGGGATTTGGCCCTCTGGTGGCCACAAAAAGGACCAAGGCTTTCCTGGAGGGGCTCTGGTGGCCTGCAGAGGGGAAGGTGACAACCTCTTCACTCTCCCTGGTTCAGTTTGGTTCCCTTTCTGCCTCCCATTCCTCCTAGGGTTCCCCCAGAGCGGGAAGCACTGGCGCCCAATGCAAGGCACACAGCATGTGCTCAACAAACAGTGTGGTTATTATTAGGTATCTACAAATATGGTTTCTCTTCCCTTGAGGGCACAGTGTTCCTTCTGCTCCAGTCGTTCCTAATCAGCAGCAGAAAACTATTCAGAAAAGTGCTGCAACTTCCTCTGATGCCTCCTATGGGTGGATACTGGGAAAAGGAGGTAGAAGGAACATAACTTTTCTGGGAAGCCAATCCAGACCTAGTAGTAGTGATGGCTAATATTTATCAAAAATGCTTCATGTGGGTCAGGCAAGGGATGCATGCATTATGTGAATATAGCTCATTTTTACAATGGAGGACAAAGCTGAGCCCAAGGGAGGTTAAGTGATTTGTCCAAAGTCACAAAGCTAGAAGTGGTATCCCAGGTCTATTGCCAAGTCATGACTTCTTAGTTTTATAGCCTTCCTAGCTCAGAAAAGACTTGGTTGCAGCCCCCACCCAGAAAGCCCTATTTCTAGTCCCCTTGAGGTTAGTGTGTCACCTTGAGACAGGAAGAAAATCCCCTCAAGGGGTTGGTTGCTCTTCTGGACTCTCCTGGACCAATTCTCACATTTATTCAGCAAACATCACTCTCAGACACCATAGAGGTAACCCTGAACTGTGCAGTTTCTGTCCTTATAGAGCTTATGTTCTTATGGGAAAACCAGACAAGTAAACAAGCAATTAAAATGCAGTGGTGAGTTCTGGGAATGACTAGGTATTAGCCACTGACAAAGGGCTGGGGCTGGGAAGAATGTTCCAAGATCAGGGAACAGCTGTGGAAAGGCCTGGAGGAGAAAGGGCATTGGGAAGGCAGAGATGGATCATGTGGGCTTCTAGATCTGGTTGAGAAGGGTGAGCCTGCATTCTGTGTGCCCTGGGGAATTACAGAAGGGTTTTGAACTGAAAAGTGGTGTAAACGTTTTTATAGGCTGGTTTGGGAGACTACTACTCTAACAACTACTATACATGCCCACTCCCGTGAGCCCATGAGGAGGGCTCCCATGTGATCTGAATTCCCCAAAGCAAATTAGCTTGGAGCTGCCCATGCAGATTCCTGGGCCTGGTCCAATACTTAGTGAATAGACCCCATCCTTGAATGGTTATTTAA